TTGCAGGAAAAACCCCCACTATAGACAGTTTTAAGAACAAAGAAAATTTAGATGCCCGAATTAATAAATATTAATTGCATGCAAGTACAATTTGAAAATTTCTCAAATAATGAGATTCTAAAGAACTTCTAAATATTAAGTGGTTTCTCTCAATTATTTATTCATTTGTGTTGATTATATTCTTGCAACCTCTACTGGTATTTCTGTATATAATTATAATTTAATTTTAAAATTCACTGTCATCAATGGACATTCCTTCTGATAGAAACTGCACATTTTACTGTTTTTTCATTTCATGTAATATAGTGCATTCTAAAAACCGTCATGAGCAAAGAAAATTAAAAACTTCCTAATTTTTTATAGTATCAGGTTTTATTTCTTTCACAGACACATTAAATTTGTAGCAATTCTTCTTCATTCCAACTTTTTCGATTTTACGTTTAATTAATATTTAGAATTATATCGAATTACATTGGGAATTAAAATTTATTTTATCTAATTTCAATAATGGATTTAGCTTTTCCTCCGCCATTTCAGGAGACAACTTTGCTTCCAAAAATTAAGTTTGTAAATTAGGACAATCCTCTGAATTTCCAAAAGTTTCAATAACTTCTTAAAGTTCCCTAGATAGAGTGGCTGTGGTACAGTATTAACATTAGTGCTTTTCCGAAGTTGCAATAGAAGTAATTTTCTGTTGTATTGGTTTATGAATGTTTTGCATAGAACTTCTCATCTTCAAAGCACTTGGCAAAATGTAACTAGATTGATATGTCTTAAAATTAACATTTTGCGTTTTGGTATATTATTATATCTGGATCTTTCCCATTATCGTGGAGAAGGTTTAATGTAAAATTGTCCAGATATATGTCACTATGATTGCGAAGCTGACCTAAAGTCTGAATGAACATAGAATTTCTTCCTCTTACTTCTGTGTGGTTTTAATGGCCATGACCACGCTCTGACGTAGATTGATACGTCATGCCAAGGCTTTTATGTGAAGTTGCAAATGGGCTTTACTGCTCCTACAAAGATGTGAAATGATACAGGAGAAAGATATTTTCAACTCCTTTGTAATTGCAGAATCCTGGAAATATTCTATGAAGGCTTCTTCTGTGGAAAGTTTCATATTAATATACTCGCAGAAACAAATCATTTCAGAAAACTTTAAAATGCGTACTGTTTTTGTCCTCTCCCACTCATTCTATGACTATTCAAAACATAATCTCAGTAGAACCATTTCAATTGCATTAGAAGCATATCAGATGAATCAGAAATAAGGGAGAATAATAAATAAATATAAAGAACAAACTTGTGACAGAAGTAGTTATTTAAACAGCAGAATATTATTTTGAATTGAAGTGACGAGTTCATTTCTTCAACTGTAGCAAAAGTGTCACATAAAGTGTTGGCTTCAATGTCAATTGTGAAAAAGGTTTAGGAATGCTGGGAACACCTTGTCAATACTCTGCCCCATCTGTGTAAAGTTCAACTGGATTAATTTTGTTACTTCCCTTGTAGTTACTTTTGCTCACTGAACTATTTATAGCTTATTCCTATGATACCTGTATGGCTGGGCTCTCTAACTAGTAGTATTGCTATAAAAATTCTGTAATAATCAGCGGAACAATTGAATAGAGGTAATGTGAAACTGAAATGAATAGTGGTGTTTAAAGACCAGGAGAACGAAGAGAATTAACAGAATGTAGTACCTGCCTGAGAAATCAAAAAAGGTTCTCTTTACTGCAGATTAGTCAAACTAAGATAGCTGTTGTTTCTCTAGATGGGATTTTTAATATTAAATTGTAGCACAGAGCACATAGTTGTAGCAAATGATAACTTAATATAAATGTTAATCTGAAGAAAACTGTCAGTCCATCAAATCTTGCTTGTATAGCACAGGCATTTCTTGAGCATTTAGTTTATTACATAAAAAGATGGCAGGACAAAGGAGAATTATAGTCTTTGATAGATTATCAGCAGGCTATCCCTATGTTCATAGAATCATAGAATATCAGGTTGGAAGGGACCACAAGGATCATCTAGTCCAACCTTTCAAGGTAAAAGTATAGTTTAAATGAGTTTACATTAAGTACAATAAAACTGGTGCTATCATTTTTTTTCTTTTCTAAACACAAGTTATGGCTACAGCGTATTTTTTTCAATTTTTGTGTAGCAAATTCAAGATACTCTTTCAAAGTACACATAAACATTGCATTTAGAGTTGCATAATTGCTGTAATTTTTGTCTGGTTACATTAAATCATTTACAGTATAATGTTGTTCCATTGATTTTAGTGTAGTTTCTCATGGGTTTTAGTGGTAAAATGCATGAAACCATATTAACAATGAAGCATGCTTACATGGAAGAGTAAAACAAGCTTTTCTAATAGTCTGTTGCTTCCTTCAAAGATTATACCTTTGCTTTCCTAAAAGGGTGAGATCCCATAGGACAAGCTATCTGATTTTAGTTTAAAACAGGGAATATACTATTAACCCTGGAGATTACCCTCTGGAGATCTAAGAACTATAGCATTTCTGGTTTTGGGGAAACTTGATTTAAAGAGGAGTTTCAAATTGGTTTCCTTTCTGCAGCAGGCTGGATGGTGCAATGGTAAAGATTATTGGCCATCTATTTATCTTAGCTCAAATGTGAACTATTGATGAAAACAAAAAATCCAAACTGAAAATTATCACCAAAATTTAATGTGGATAATTTAAAATCTTGTATAATCCATCCTTTGAGTATAAATAATCATTTCTTTAGCCTTAGTGACATGCCTTTCTGACAACATAACAATGGATAAAAATAAAATGGATAACTTAGAAGCTGAAAGAGAGAGGTGATCTCTGGAATGAAGGATGCTTTAAGGATATGACTAGCAGGAAAAAGTAACTCTGCTATTAGGTAAACAAAAGTCCTAAATGTGGTCCACTGTGCTAACTGTTTTGCAAATAACATGAAGAGGTATCATGCATTAGCTAATTTGTCAGGTCTTGTGGAAAGGACAATGGAACAAAAGTACAACTGTTAACTGCAACCTTAGCTGACTTTATCTAACAATTATGACAACTACCAAAGAACTGTGGAAAGGAAGATAAAAAAGTTCTCTCTATCTTAGTTATAAATCTGTGTGATTCCATTGGTTTCAGTGAATTTCTGCAGCTTTTACAGGAACCTAACCTGGAATTAAAGGTCCACACTTCTGTGTTGGCGCAGAGTTCATTCTGCTTCTGCTGTACTTCCTGTGGTTTCTGTTGGTAGGGTGCATAGTTATTCAGTGTGTAGCTTACCTTATTTTGACAGAATCCTTTGCGTGCAATAGTTCCATATAGAAAATAATCCTATTGGGTTCTCAGATTAAATCCACTCTTTTTGTAACTAAAGCTGTATTTGTAAAGTATGAGGTGCTGTCTTCCGTCCTGAATGTTAACATTTCGCTTCTCTTCCCTTCTGCCTGCTTTTGTAAATCAGTTTTGTTTGAACTATAACAGAAATGTTTCATAACTTCAATGTCTTTGCAAATAGCTTTTAAAAAAAACATTTTAACATAATTTCCTATAACACTGAAGCTACTTAAGATATAAAGCTATTGTACATCAAGAGGAATTTTGCTGTATATATTCATGCATCTAGATACAGGAGAGGGCATGCTGTACTTAACTTGTTTGACCTGTAATGTATACAAGGAATGGAAAATTTGGCTGCATGTGTAATGACCTGGTAGCCCAGGTAATTTCCTTTATGCCTTCAATTAGGTAACTGACATTCACAATGCATAGAATCTTGCTTGTTGAGCAGTCTAGCATTATATTTGCAGAGCTACCACTATACTAACTGGTATTACATTCACATTGGGTGATTTATTTGAACTGGGAAGCCAAAGAATTTCTTCTTTCCTAAAAGGATGTTTTCTAGGGCTCCAAATGATCAAATTATTTATGTTCTAGTTTTTTACTTTATTACAGTTCTGATGAATACATGATCATTTGCAATATATGTGTGTATATACATATGTATATATGGTGGGACATTATGTATATATAGTATATACATCAGCATATATTGATACCGTACTTTCACTTTGATCTGTAACTTCTACATTGTTCTGTGGCTTCACCAACCTATTTTAGAAACCTCGCAAATAAATCACTAATCATACTCATGGAAGTTTTCTCTTTCCTTGGATAAAAGTATATCTATAAAGTACCAGTTTGTATAGAGTGTGCTTTGGATCTGTCCCACTATTAAATAAAGCATAATATAATAAGCTAGAATTTGCAATGGCTGCCTGACACACACAAAGGTATTTTAATTGACCTGCATGCAGAAATTAACCCTTAGAGTACTGCTTCAAATTCCTGAATTTATTTTGTTATTTAATTTTACCAGTGGTTTATGCTGCTTTTCTACTCAGCTCATAGTACTGTACATTAAGTACTTTAAATAGCCATACACAAAAAAGAAATGAGAAAATGGAAAAACAAACAAACAAAAACCCCAACTTCTTATAAACAAGGGATTCTACAAGACTGAGTACCCCAGATTGCTAATGGGTAATGTATTCCTAAACAGCTACTTTTTTTCTTAAGGTTTTATATTATGACATGAATTAGAAACACAGAATGTTTCTCTGTAGCTGTGTGCTTGTTAGGTTTGTTCCTAAAGTGTCATAGGTATGTCTGCTATAGAAAGAAGTCAGTTCTTTAAGGGTTAATGTGGGGTTAAGGAATCCTGAGGTATTCTCCTGCTTGTCCTTTCTTAAAGGTATCTGCATGTTAATTCTCAGATATTACCTGAACAGGTGAATATAAAGACTTGTATGAATAACTAACTGAATGAATGAAATAATTCATTTGAAATGCTTGCTTGTTTCTTGTAAATAACTGGGAAACGGAAATTTGATTTCTGAATCAAGGTCTTTAATTAAATGCATAAAAATCTCACCCGGATAGAAACTCACATACTGACAATTTACTCCTATTTCTTTTTCTTTCAAATAGCCCAATAGAATCCTGCCAGAATTTCTACAAAGATTTCACATTACAGATCGACATGGCTTTCAATGTGTTCTTCCTACTCTACTTCGGCTTGCGTGTAAGTAGTGTGTCTTTGATAGCATGAGTCAGGGAGGGAACATCTATTAGAGAGGGAGAGTCTTTGAATACAGCCTGACTTTACAATGACTGGACAAAATCAAGCTGATTTCTAAAATGCAAGAGGAAAGCATTTGATTGAGAACATTTTTGTAATAATAATAATAAACATCTAAGTTCACTAAGGAGACTGATAGTTTTTAAGCTAAGCCATCTGTTCCAGAATGTTCTTGTGCAGTAGAAAGTGAAAACTATTATAGTTCACTGTTGGTCAGTGACATTTCAGTGTTCTCAATGGAATGATAACTACCTCAGCAAGACTAGTGAATACTTGGTCAGTTTCACTGCTGCTAGATATGTCTTTGGTAGTCGAAGGTTGAGATAACAGCTACTAGAGCTGCTCCATTCAGTTTTATGCTCGTCCACTTTCTCAGACTGCTAATGAATGCTTTGTAGAAGCTGTAAATACCAGTCAACATGCTGAAATGTATCCTCAGCATATACTGTCACTTTCTGAAAATCCAGTAACGCTGTTTCATAATCTAAAATTTGAGACTTCTGAAATAGGTAGGCACTTTTAAAAATTAAGGCCAGTAATGCTTGCAAATCAAGCTGATTTTTTTTCTTTTTTTTTTGTTCGTTGGTTGGGCTTTTTTAAGATATATTTTGAAAACTAACTTTGCTTGCTGTTATTTGGAAAATTAGAGGAAAAAGGGCTTAAGCATAACAGAACTACAAGGAAAACCTCATGTGAGCAAGAAGCCTGCCACATTTGTCTTTAAATCTGATACAAATATTGGTTCCTGATCTTCATTTGTCCATTTTGCTTCTGAATCACAGGAGCTGCTATATCACGATGATAGTTGAGTTCCTCCTATTCAATTCTGACCAACTTAAGCAACTTTTTCTGATGATCTAATAAAGAATTTTGTTGCAAATCTAGATTATTTCATTACCTAGAGTAAGTAGGTGCAGTGTCTATCCTTTAGCTAAATTCCTGCAGTATTTACACTACTATGTATCCATTTTAAGCATATAGTGTAGTAGTCCCTAATTCCTAAAGATTTGGGGTCTTTTGTAGATGTCCACCAGACCTGCAATATAGGCTAACTTTTTAATGTCACATTCAGAGCATGGTACTTGTGAACTCCAAAAGAACTTCTCTTTTTTCAGAAGTATCCAAATGCTTTGTAAATTTTGTTCTAGTGGTAAGATTGTATGTTCTTACCAAGAAAATTAAGATTATGTATTGGCCACTCTTACTTAACATAGCCTAAACTACTGCTTTGATTATCAAGAAGCAGAGCCCAGTAAGAGAGAATATACTGAGAGTTGGTACTAATACTTTCATATCCACAGTGTATGTTTTTTGAAAGGGGGAGAGAGTACTGTAAAGTCCAGTCTGGTCCTGTGGATTGAACACACTTTAGCAGTTACAGTATGTGAGATCCACTGCTAGAACACTTTTTTCAGTTTTAGTTTCAACCAAAACAAATGCTTCTGTTATCCAAATCTGCTTTGTGATGCAAACTGAAGTATAGTAAGTGGGGATGATAGGGATTCCTTTCAGATTAATACTCCTTAATTAAAATGTTAATGTAGGTGTAACTTTAGTTCTTCAAGAAGTGTTGCTGAACTAGACAAGAGTTCCTGGGGAAATGGTGATACTTGGTTGTGTGGATGCATTAATTGGATCGATAATGAATTTGCTAGTTATGTGATAAGCATCTCATACCTTTAGTTATTTTAGGTTAGGTCTTCGGTGGTTTTTTGTATGTGTTCAATGAGTTTTTTTCCCTAATAAATATGTCCTGTGAGGACTCACTGGCAGATTAAAGTATTTGAAGAAATTTCTTAAGATCTCATTCTTCTCTATCTCAACCAAAATGATGTTGCAACTCTAAATCATATAAGTATTACCTTATCTTCAGTTCTAAAAAAATATTTTAGAATATATACATATATATCCCTTATATATATATATACACATATATATACATATATATACATATATATCCCTTTTAAAATAAATGTTGGCTAGTATCCCACTATATGAGAACTCAGAAGTGAAGTCTGCAAAGTGCTGATGAAGACTAAGTCCAAATTGCATGAGTTAGCAATAGAGTCTGGCAAGCACGGAAGCATTCCTTCTTTGGAAGCAACAGAATTATGCTAGTGCTTCTAGAAGAACATCGTATGTCTTCAAGCATGGCAGGATTGCTTTTGTAATGAAATGGACTTTTATTAGTAGCTAATTACAGAAATGAATAACTGTTCAAATACTTCCATAGGAAAGTATGAGTGGCCTTTACAGTCAGCAGATTTCTGTTTCATTGTTGAATGAACCTTTTTGAAAGTGACAGTCTTTTGACAGTCTTTTGAAAGTCCTAAAGGACACACACATTGTGTCCTGTGGAATGACAGAAAGATAATTAGAACATATATTGCAGGTTATGATTGATCTGACATCTTAAAAAGCTTTTAGTTCCAATTAGTCTTACTACTAAATTCAACAGAAGAAAATTCAAAACTTCTGCTTTAGCACAATATTTTTGTTCAGTTTTCATGCTGGAGCGTTGATAAGGAGACTAGCAAAATCTCTTTTTACTTTTTTATTTTGAGTCTTCTCTGAGGCAAATGCTGCTCATGTTGTCTCTTTTAAGTAGGACTTCAACATTCTTGACGTCAGTGGAGTCCCCTTTCCAATATTTTATCTGGGACTCCAGCAAAGTTGATATGAAGCATAAACATTTTCTGTTAAAGTTTTAAAGCAATTCTAAAGCAAGACAATTAAGTGGATGAAATAGAGATATTCAGTATTTGCTTTGGAAGAAAGACAGTCAGTAAATATTGTCTGTAATTCAAAAAATACAAGCACTGGTTTGAAATGTTAGTCTATGTTTTAAGACTTACATGAGTAAAAGTGATCCATTAAATATCTTTGTGATGGACTAAAACATTATATTTATTTGTATATTTGTATTTCATATTTATATAAAGCATATGTTTTAATTATTACTGAAATGTGAGTAGTAGTTTGACCTTATGAAGCAAGGCTGCTGCAGTTCTGGATTATGCCTTGTAGGAGTCATCCTGGTGATTACCTGTGGATAGAATCATAATGGGTCTCTTTGTAAACTGTCATGTATTTAGAAACCTGGGAACAGCAAATACATGATGAGACTGCTTGTGTTACAGCAAAGGTGTTATACTTCGAAATTTTTTATAATTGCCTACAATTTTCTAATATTATTTATACATTATTAATAAATGTGGAGAAAATATTTTTGGCACCATTATTACAACTCATCATATAAATGATCTGCCACTTTAGTTAGTCCTTTCATTTTAATCTCAATGTGGTTATCAAGCAGTACACAATACAGACTTTTTTCCAGTGAGACATGTTGTTTTGTCTAGACTGACCTAAAACGTCTCTACTAAATTCGGAGTTTAATATTTTAGAATGGAAAATATTGCACATACTTGCAATGACCATGAGCATAATCTGATTCTTTCATCTGATCCTTTTTTTTTTTCCAGTTCATAGCAGCCAATGACAAGCTATGGTTTTGGCTAGAAGTTAACTCAGTAGTAGATTTCTTCACGGTCCCTCCAGTGTTTGTGTCAGTATATTTAAACAGAAGTTGGCTTGGTAAGTAAAACAGTTTTTCCTTTTAGTAGCTGTGATTAAAATGCTTAAACTTTGTACATTTTGATGGAGAATCTTTTAATCTCATGGCATCATGTAAACAGAAGAATGTTACTGAAGTTTTGCAGTGAATTTGGTATTTCAGCAGACAAGTGGGTTCTGTCAGAAAAAGCACTTACCAATTGCATTTTTTTCTTGATTCATTAATATCATTTTCTACTCTAAGTGATGGTGAACTCCAGCTTGGAAGTACTGTGCAACATGAGGCCATTTTTATAAAATGGCAAATTTCATGTAATTTTCTCACCTTAAAACCTGAACGGGTGATCTAGACGACTCATTCACTGAACTAGATTGCTGTGGATTATTGTCAATAATGAAATCAACAAATTTTATTCACATTTTGAACCAATATAGCTATATTTTAAATCCACTGAAACATATTTGGAAGATATGTTTAGACACTTAATGGACTTAACATTGTGTAGGACTGCTAGGAATGCATTAGAAAAAATATGCCACATGTGAAAGGGAATACAAAACGAAGCAGAGCAGACAAAATAAATCTGTAAAAGAACACCCATAATGTGGCATGTGAAATTTCTTGTACAAATTGAATATTCTCACTAGTTAAGCAAAATGAAGGATTAAATTTGTAAGTTTTTATTCAGGGAAAGCTTCCTAAAACTGGTGTATTTTGTGAATGTTGTGTCTTTAGACAGCACAGGAAACCTCACAATTTGACAATCCATTTGTACAGAAATACAGACACTCATTGTCCCTGAAAACCAAAGAGAGTGGTCATCCTAAATGTTTCACATAAAAAGGAAAATAAAACAGAGGATCTTTCATAGTATTATAATATTTTCAACCTAACACACAAGTGCAATGATGGAAGAATTATTGGTGAACTCTTGTGTGAAAAGAGATGAATAAGTATATAACTGTGTTAGAGTTCATACTATATACGTTATGGTTATTAGCATGCCAAAGAAAAAAGCAGTAATACAGCCAGAAAAGATCGCTACAGATCCTTATATGATTACTGTCATTATACCATCCTTCTGTCATGTATGTACAACTACATAATGCTTTTTTAAAGGAGAAAATATCATAGAATTCCATAGTATGATAGGAAATCAGATTAAAAGAAGAAGGCATGTGAATAAAAAACAAGCTTCTGCTTAAAGGAAAATTGCTGATTTCACTAGCTATAACTCAATCCCAGGTACTTTGCATTATGTAAATTAAAGGGATGTATTTTCACACTTAAATGTATCAGTTTCCTCAAACTTTGAGACCAAAATCATTGGAAATGAAAGCTAGCTAAGAGGAAAAAATACAATTACAGGATCCATAGAAAAGGGATATGAAATGAGAAAATAACAAAACAGCAGGATTTGGGAAATGAGGCAAGAAGATAATTATTTGAACTTAATACCCTTTGTGAAAATGACTGCATAATCAACTGACTCATGGTGACACAGCAATCTAATAGTACGAAGAGGAATAATGAGAGAGTTTGCCCACTTAGCAGTTTCTGATGGGTAGTTTTTACAATATTTACATCATTTTGCAGGCAGAGTTAAGCATTGTACATCTGTTTCTTCATAGGGTTGAAATTAATACACTGAAGTGTATTAATGAAAATTGTATATTCCTTTACACCTTTTAAAGAGATGGCAAAATTTACTCCGCCTGTGAAGCTCAAATACTTTGGACGTATTTGTAGGTAATACAGTGCAAGACTGGGCGTATGAGTGGAGGGGAAGGAATTGTGTTTGGACCATATTATTTACAGTTTCAGAATAGATGCCTACTTTTCCTTTTCCTTTTCTACATTTTCTTGTAATTGAGAGAGAAGTCCTTGTGTGGAGGATGATTCAGAACACAAAAGTTTTGATTGCTGCACTAAGCGTCCCTGTGGAAATAGGCATCGCAGGGAGGTTAGCCTTCTAGTGAGTCAGGTAAATAGGGAGTCTTAATGTTCAGCAATGAAAAAATCATTTAATGGGTTTGAACTTCATAGTATTGTGTTATTTGTTCTCATACTTTAAGAATTTGTTACTGATTAAGCCGGATTCCTCTATACGCCGTAAATTTCAAGATAATTTAGGAGCCCAAACACAGTAATTTTCTGGAATGTATTGTGCATCGAGACCTTTCTAGTTTATTTCACTATTGATTCATGTCAGTCAGCTGTGATGAGCTCATCTAAGTACTAGACAGAATGAAAGTCGCCAGAATGTGTGGTGCTCTGAATTCCCAGTTTCGCAAGAACTGCCCCAGTTTAGCTGACAATAAAGTAAGTACAAAACCACAAAATACAAAAACAGTATTTTGAAACACCCATATAAACTTTGCTTTGAAGCACTAAATGCTCATAGAAAGATGTGAGGTGTAGCAGAGGACATGTGATCTGAATGCATTGCCTGTTAGTGTACTGTAGTGGAAAGCCAGTGGGGTTTTTCCTTCTCTTATGCTAGTTCAGAAATGCCACCGTTCAGGTATTACGTAACTCAGTATGTGAAGTCTTCCACTTTCCCTGCTACTTTTTTGCATTCAGTTATTTATAAAATGTATTTTTGTATCTCAAAATGCGATATATGAATGAAATTTTCAATCAGAATTCATAAACAATATTGTTTCAAAGCTGATCTTCCACCTAGATTCCATTATGCTAGCAGATTTCAATATGCATGACAGATCAGATTATACTTTTCTGTCATAAGGTTTCTTGGAATTGTAGGGTGTTCACTGTCTAATGTACAACTGAAGGCACAACAGCACTCTAAACCTGCAAAATACCAAAATTATAGATTTGATTAATCCTTCAGAAAGGATTTATAGGGTATCATTTTTGCTTGCATAGGATAGCATAAAAAAGGAAGTACATATGCAGAATACAGCTTGCACGTGGAATGATTTACAAATTATTGAAAGATTGGGGGGGAGTAGAGAAAGGGAAGAAAATTTTAATGAATCTATAATTCAGTGGTAAACATTGCTTTGACAGTCAGAGCATAATTATATTTTATACTGACTCAGAACGGTACACATGCAAACATCAGTGTGTTTTCTGATGTTCATTTGCATCTAGATCCCCTTGACATTTTTCCAACACTGTTTTGCAAACAGTAGCATTTGTGTAGATACTTACACATAAACTAAAGCTGTGCTTTATAAAATCATAAATGTCTCTTGCACAACACAAGAAACTTTCCGATAGAAGGACAGTTCTCCACTTCAAGTGCAGGCTTCTGTGGAGTGGAGAGAATCTTCCCAAGAAAGAGTGGAGTTTCTGGCTCTGGTGATTTTACAGGTAATTTTGATAGTTAATTTCAACTAAATGATTTCAGCGCATTGCAGAGTCTGGACACTGTCCTTACAGTCATAAGTGAAAGTAGGCTAAGAAGGTTGTTGTATGAAAAGAAAAAATTTGCAATGAGAGAAATAACACCATGGCAAGCCTCATTTTTTTTTTTTAACACAAAGTCATCATGATCTGAGTATCATAGCTAAGTTTTAGGTTCAGATCATATTTTTTTTTGATAGCTTGCAGTCTGTCAAGTTGTAGAGCTCAGCATCAAATGAACATCTTCCAGTTGTACTCAGTAATGATTTGCAAACACTCTACACACCTCTTAAAACTGTTATTCTATCCTCTATGATAGCAAAGACACTTCAAATAACTGAAATGCCTTTTATCATGTACTTCTATGCTTATGAAAAAGGAAATACTGATTTTTTTAAGCAGACTGTATTAGAATAAATTGCCCTGACAGGATGGTATTGTTAGAGGAAGCTTAAACATGTAAAATATGATCTTGGCTTCACATTTACGAGGACACACGAATGAGGAACAATCAGCCCTAGAACTACAGTGGTTTAAATAAAGCCTAATATATGGACTTGATAGTGTTGTATCTTATTGAATCACAGAAATTAAAGATAGAAAATATCTGTTAAACAATCAATTTCCTTTTCCTGGCCATGTGCTTTCAGTGCTTCATCTATCCTACTGTATGAAATTTCAAGCAATAAAAACAGTTTGATTCTTAATACAATCTACCATCAGGAAGATTTTTTCATTATCCTTCTCCACTGACATCCTTTCTAGTCTAGAATGCTGCTGAAGCCATGTTATTTTTTGAGAAAATAATTCAAGATTTACAGTGGGAAAAAGAAGATGGATGACAGATGCAGATGTAGACACACATAGCAAAGAGAACATATCTCTTTGTGTGATGATTAGTGTAGCTATGGAAAAGAGAGTCCTTTTTTCAAGTCCTTGCTCAAATTCTGTCCAGGTTCTGGTACAGTTATCTCAAGTTATTTTGAATGAGGCTTGTGGTCTCAGTATCAATTCCTTGCCTGAAAAAACTGTTTCCAACACCTCTGGTAGACATTCAGCTATTATTGTGAATCAGAGAATGAAATTGTTTCCCTCTCTGGAAAGAGATAGATGGCTTTGGCAAAAAAAGGAGTGTGGCTTATTTAGATAGTTAAGCTGATGGTGTGAATGCCTTCTGGCCACCCAGCAAGTGTGCTTCAAGATGAAGCTTTATTTAAATATCTGTGACATGAAGACAATATTTGTTTTAATCGACTTTTGTGACATAACGTTTACAGAGCAGCTCAGCCTGAAACCCTGTTTGAATCTGCAGAACACTTTATTCCTTTCGGGAAACACATATATTTTAATGGCACTTAGAGCAGTATCTTGGTTATACTTATACAAAGAAGTGGTCTGATAACGAAACTGTAGGATACCAGTGTAAGAGAGAAGTTATGAGGTCCAAAACTTTACTATCTTTTTATGCATCCACAAGTCTCAAAACTATCCCTTTCTTAGTACCTTAAATTTGCTATGATTGTCAATGATTTTGTTGGTTAAGTATTGTACATTTCTGCCATCTATTGGTGAAAACTTTGAATCCACATCCAAATTCTACAATATTTCTTACAAAGCTGGTGTATTTTATAAAGCATTTTGTGTAATT